CGACAGCCCCCTGCCCAACCTCTGTCAGACATCGTCAGGCCTCATCAGCTCTCTCTGCCCAGGGCACTGGCCTCCCGCTAGCTGGGCCCCCTCTGCCATTTTGCACACCTGTTACCCATAAACCTTCGGTGGCTCTTTGCCTCCTGACGATGGGTCACCCTCACAGCATTTCCCGCCATCCTTCTCTGCACAGGTGCTCTTTGTGCCCACCCCTCAATGGCTGTCTGTATGCTACCTCCTGCAGGACGCCCTTCCTGATCTACCCCTTTCCCCATTCTGGCGGTGGTGTCTCCCTCAGCTGGGTTCCACACGGAGTCTTCTGTCCCTCACGAGACAGGAGCAGGGGTTTCGAAGGGATCTGCTAACGGTGATGAAGCCGGGCAGGAAGGCGAGGCCAGGCGGCATCAGAAGTCTGTGCTTGCTTGGTCTTGACGGCTGGGCTTTGGGCAGGGAGATCCAAGTCTTACGACACCCTCTCAGGCCACTGTGTGGAGGTGCAGGGCAAGGGGAGAAGCCTGAGCAGGCAGACCCCAGGGCTTGCTGTGGGACCCCTGCCACACCTCCAGGCCGACAGCAGGAGCACAGAGGGTGGGGTGCTCCCTGGGCCCCTGGTCACAAAGCACAGCTGCTCAGTACCCAGGTCTCTGCTCCCCTCTGACGGGGCTCCTGGCTCAGAAGCGCCAGAGGCTGCAGCTGGGCTCCGCTGTCCAGCGTGAGGGCAAGGGGTGGGGGGAGAAGGGCGGGAGGCGTCATCCTGCCTGGTCCCCGGGGCTGAATTCCATCCAAGACATACGCAGGAAGCCACGAAGGCAATTAGAACTCAAACACCGGGCAAAGCTCTTAAATAGATAAAACCGGGAGAGACGTCGTCAGAACCTGTGCTGGGCTTGCACAATCCACGCAGATTATCAAATGCCACGTTGTAAATTGCCCTCAGGCTCTAAGTTTTGAATTAATTGTGTGCGCATAGACCTATTTGTCTGAGTCGTGGGCAGGGAGGCTTTGAGGGTCACGGGGCTCTGCTTAGGTGAACAAGGAAGCCTCCTCTCCCTATAGACATGCTGAGCACATTCATCTCCGTGTTCACTATCCCACTGACAGACACTTCTCCACACCATGCAGTCGCCCTGCTGCCAGGGGAGATGGGGATATGCAAAGCTCCTGGAAGGTAGTGAGCCCCCTTCACTGGGGGTATGCAAGGAGGATCGGAGGGTCATAGGGGATTCACCTATTGAACAGATGATCCGTTCATTCCACAGTTCCTACTGTGCACCGGGTGCTGCAGTGGGCCTGGCAGGGAATCAAGGGCTCGGAGCCGGTGAGATGGAGATACTGCAGAGAAGCCTGGTCACACCGGTGAAGGGAGGGTCTGCAGGGACCCCGCGGTGTGCTCATGAGGCTGAAGAAGGGGTTGTCTGGGTGTGGTGGTCAGGGAAGGTGGCTCAGGGGTGGTGGGACATCTAGGCCCAGGCAGAGGAGGACGTGGCCCCGTGAAGGTGAGGGAACGGGCACCTGGGGCTGCAGGCCCAGCATGTGCAAGGGCCCTGAGGTGGGGAGCAGAAGGGCAGGCAGGAGCACAGAGGATGAGGTGGCACTGCGGGGTGGGTGGGGCCAGACGGCACATGGCCCCGTGGGTCGATCAGTGCCGGGGAGCTGCTGAGGGGTTCCTGCTGGGGATGGGCAGAATGGGTTGATCCAGGTTCTCGTGGTCGCTGCGTGGAGAAGTGACAGGAGGGAGATGAGGGAGGTGGGGCCGTGCAGGCCAGCGGTGCTGGGGCAAGGAGCATCAAGGGAGGCTCGGGGGCGGGTTCCAGGTGGAGCCGAGGACTCTTGCCTGTGGGTGGGAGTAAGGAGCCAGGGGAAGGTGACATGACAAACATGTGTGGCTGAGGACCAGGCCAGCAGAGGACAAACCGGGCACTGGGGACTGGACCCGAGTCATCAGCGCCTGGACATCTGAAGGCAGGCCCAGTTGAGGGTGGAGCCGGCGGGAATTCCGTGCGGAGAAGCCCAGGATGGGCGGCACCTTGCCGGCCGCTACAAGTGGACATCACCCAGTGACCTCGGGACGGGCCCTCGGGAGGGCGGGGGTGGAGTGGACGCTGTCAGTGACACTCAGTGAAGGCTGAGCCCCGTGGAGCCGGACACCCCGGCCGGACCCAGACTCCAGACCTCGGGGACCCTGCTGTCCCCCACCGGCAGAAGAAAGTCTGGGCCCCATGACAGTGCCGCTTTTAAAGCCAGCCAGAGCGGGGGTCCTGGCCTGGCTCGGTCACTTCCTGGCCAAGTGACCTCAGACCAATCACTTGACTGCCCCCTGCCTCCCTGAGCGCATCTGGGCTGTACAAAGGGCCAGACTGGCAGAGGCAGATAACAGCGCGAGCAAGAGACCCCACCCAGCGCAGCAAGTATTCTGTAAGGACTGGGTTTAGCGAGTGTAACTGGCAGAAACCTGGATGTCCACGGTCCCTGTGCATGGGGCGACGCTGATGGCACAGGGCCCAGGAGCGAGGGCGGGGCCACACAGACCATAACGTGCACAGTGGGCACCGACCCCAGCCCCGAGCGCCCTCCCAGCAGCACTGAGGCCTCCCCATCCCCCTGTTTAAAGCCCCGGCTCCCTCATGGGTTCCTTGCCCCTGCGGCTCTGGCTGGGTCAGGCCCGTGGGCTTCTGGGCCTGTGAGGTCGCTCCTTCTGCCTCTGCTTTGCTCCGGTCCCTCCTGTTCGGCCCATCTTTTGCAGGGAGAGCTCCAACTCACCTTCCACAGCTCAGCACAGAAGCTGACCTGGCCGCATAAACCAGACACGGTGGTGGTCCTAACAGGGACAGTCACCTGTGAACTAATAAGTGGTCTACCGAGGGCTCAGTAGGGGGCACGTGCCCACACACCCTGGCTCATCAGTCCCTGCCAGCCCTACCCACGTTACAGAAGAGGAAATGAGGGTCCGTAGCCTTAGAGCCCCAGCAGTGACCTCCACACTGGCAGCCCCTCCTCCCATCATGCCCTTCCTGCCTGCGGAGTGACCTCTGCACCTGTCTGGGGTCAGGCTCCTCCTGTCTTCTCACCCTCCCGTGTGTCTCCCCAGCTGTCGAGTTTCTCCAGGGCACAGATGGGGAATGACCATCATGGTTCCCTTGTCGCCAGCCCCGGGCCAGCTGGACACACAGACAAGGTACTTTACAAATGTGGACTCCGTCCTCAAGAAATGAGGGTTTCGAAATGCTTAGGACCCCCCCCGGTCCTAGAAACTTATTCTAATAGGATCCCCCACATGGGGGAGTCAGGGTTGGAGGGCCCCATGGACACAACCAAGCTGTAGTGGGCAGGCGCGCCTCGCCCTGAGCCTGCGGTCTCTTGGAGCCACCGACACGGCCCGAGGTGGCCCCCCAGGGCCAAGCCCTGGGGCAGAGGGCCACCTGGGAGGTGTAGCCGTGGTGGCTCATTCAATGCCAACGCCCATCTCAGACGCTCCGCAGGGCCCAGCGCCCTCATCCCTCACTCTCCTGGGCATGATCTAAACACAAGTCTGACACTCTGGCCCTCGCCTCCCTTAGAGCCCTTCACTGCCCCCCCCAAATAATATTTAATCCTACACAATCTTCCCAGACTGGGCTCCCCAGAACCCCAGGGTGCCAGGAGGAGCGCATACGTGTTCTGCCAGGAAAGAAGAGCTCTCTGCTGAAATTCTCTTGGAAAACCCTGGGTTTTATGATTTTGTGTGTGTGTGTTTGTTTGTTTTTTTCTCACTGTAGGTTCTCTCAGAACTTCTGATAGACTCCAAGGTAGTGTGAATCACCACTGCACGGACAGTGTTTATGTTCCCAAACTTTTTGGGCCATGAGACACTTATTTTCAGAATACCAGACACAACTGGGGGAAGTCTGGCCTGCAGGATGAAATCTAAGCCAATGGCAGGACACTTATGGCCACTCGTCCCCCATCCCCACCAGCCTGCCCAGCCGTGGGTGCTGCACCCCCCACCCCATGCATCCCACTCCCCACCAGCTGCTCCTGGCTCCGTGCCCTCCACGTGGTGGCTCACGCTCTCCTCTCTTCCCAAAGAACCGTTCCCTACCACTACCTGGAGAACCTGTCCCCCCTCATCCAAGGGATTCAGTTGAGACCCTCCTTATCCCTGAAGGCTTCTTGGCACCCCAGGCAGCTGGACGTCCCACAGTGCTCCTAGGGCCTGCAAAGCCGGGCCCGGTGGTCAGCGTCTCCCCCCAGCAGCTGGAAACTGAGGGCATACACAGGGCTCGACTCATCTCTGCGAACTTGGGGCTCAGCCCGAAGCACATGGCAACCGCAAGTACCTACTGAACCAACTTCCTAAGAGGTGCCCTAAACAGATAAAGGGGCAGCAGGGTTTTCTAGCATTTTCTTCCATGCACAGGGTCAAGCTGTGTGGCAAGAAGCAGTTCTGGGCCAGCTCTGGGTGGGGGGAGGCTGTCCTAGGGTTGGAAGGGACAAAGGAGGTCCCTGATTCAGCAGCCTGTCCCAGGAGGCCCCAAGCCACTCAGAGACCCCACATGCTGGCTCACCATTCCCAAACAGCCCTCTAGAGACGTGAACTCTAAGTGCAGCTAAAAAGAAAGGAAACACTGGATGTCGCTCAAGAGAACATCCGCTCTGGGTTAGATTTAAGGCCAGGAAAGACGGCTCTCCACCCAGCACCCGCACAGAGCAGGAATATGGGACCAGCAGAAATGATACACAGGAAAGGTACGTTCTGATGAGGTCAGAGAGAGACAGGGAAGCAGAGAGCCAGACCAAACCCCTAGGGTGGTCAGGAGGGCACAGGGTTTCACTCTTAACTACTTCTGTGACTTTGGGCCTCGATTTCCCCACCCGGAAGGCCAGGGGTCGGATTAGATGATTTCTGCCCATTGTGCCCAACCAGTGCGGACCTCGAGGCTCCTCCCCAGCTCTGCGCCTCAGTTTCCCCCGGAGGCGCCTTCCCTCACACCCCGCGCCCGTCGCCCGGGCCGAGCGCTTACCCGATGGGCAGGCGCCCTTCTGCAGCTGGCGCACGGGTGTCCCCGAGAGCTCCAGCGCGCGCCGGCTGGCCGCCTGCAGCGCGCACACGTTGGCGTAGGTGTGCCCGTCGGTGCCGCACACAGCGTGCTCCCAGCGGCAGCGGCACACCCCGCGCGCGCACTCCAGGCTCTCCCCGCACGGCGAGTCGAGGGGGCGGCCGCACGGCTCGCCCTCGCTGGCGGCGCACACCAGGCAGCAGTTGCAGAGGTCGGGCACGTAGCCGCCGGGGCAGCGGGGGCTCGGGCACCGCGACACGTCGCAGCGCGCGGGACACGGCGCCGCCGGGGGCTCTCGGGCCAGCGTCAGCGCGGCCAGCGCGGCCAGGAGCAGAGCGCGCGCCGGCATAGCGGCGGGGCCGGGGCCGGGCGGCAGCGCGGGGGACCGGCCGGGGACCAGCGGGGACGCCGAGGCCGTGCCGGGGCCGGGCGGCGGCCGCCTGCGGAGGGGACGGGGACGGGCGCGCGGCCACATGCGCCGGCGGCTCAGGCGGGCGGGCCGCGGGGCCACAGGGGCACGCCGGGCGGGGCGCGCGGACCGGAGAGGAGCCAGCTCCTTCTGGGCCGACACTCGGCGCGCCTAGCAGCCCCGCCGCATTTAAAGGCGCGCGCGCGCGCGGCCCGCCCTCGCTGGAAGGGGCGGTCCGGCCCCTGGGCCAGCCCCGCCCCGGCCCCCGCCAGCCCCCGCCAGCCCCCGGCCTGCCTGGTCTGGGAAAGGCGGGGTATGGGTCAGCTGGTGGGGCCCGAGGGGCGGAGCCGAGGGGTCCGCGGGGCGGAGGGGTCCGCTAGGCACAGGCCTCGGGCCCTCCCAGAGCCCCTGTGCCAGTCCTGTCCGTGCCCCGGGTTCCAAGGACCTGAGCTCCTCCTGTCCCCGGGGACATGGACAGGTCAGATCTCCCTGCTCCTCCTCCCCAGCACGCCCCTCCCCCAGCTCCAGCGCTGGAAGGGCAGATGTCACCCCTCCTGGTTCCCCACCTCCACCTGGGACAGACCTTCAGGAAGCGCCCGCCTTGTGCCTAACTTCTCACTCTTTACAGCTTCGAGGATGTGACAGTCTGTCTGCCGTGTCTGACAGTTCTGTCTGGGCTTCCAGTCCCAGCTCTCCCTGCTCTGTGACCCTGGGAGTTGGCTACGGCTCTGTGCCTCAGTTTCCCCCTGCCCAGAAGGGCAATGAAGAGCACTTTGCTCCCTCCCAGGATTGGTGGGAGGACCCCAGGGAAGGGGTGGGCTATGCAGCAATGGGACTGGGGTCTGGCAGAGGACACACCAGGAGCTGGTCACCGCCTGGTCAGAGGCTGCGGAAGCAGAAGCAAATCAGAGTGGCGACTCACTGGACAGGAGAAAACGCACGTGTGCAAACGCTGGCCCTGCGGATCCTCACCCTGTGAAGTCTGGGAAGGCTGGCTCGCAGCATGATGCTTTTTTTAAATGCATAAAACAGACTGCACAGGGTCAGAAGGGCTACTGGAATACGGGCATTAAAGGTATAGAACAACAAATCAGTCCATGATACACACGGGCTTCTTGGTGAGCATGTTAAATAACATCTGGCCAGTGGCAGGGGCACCAGCCAAGACTTCCAGGCGGTGCTGAGCAGAAGGGATACTTGGGGGGCCCGCAGCGGCTAGGGTGGCCTGGAAATGTGCTGTCACCCCTCAGGGCAGTGCTTCTGCGTGCCTGGATGCTATGGTGCCCAGAAGAACAGAGACCACAGGCAGGGCCAGGAGCTCATTTCTTCTCACCTCTTTGTCTACAGATGGGGAAACTGAGTCTCCAGAGAGGCTCCAGGGCTGGCAGCTGCTGCAGACGGGAGCCATACGAGCCTCTGTCACTCCTCTGTCACTTATGAGTGACAGCGACTGTTGCTCCTGGGCCCTGGGGGGCCCTGCATACATCATTTGACTGAATATTCATGGCGCCGAGGAGGCGGCTATTAGGATCCTTATGGGGAGGCTGCAGAAGGGGAAGGTCACAGCGTGTGGCAGGCAGGCTGGGACTCAGCTCTGGGCCTTTCTGCCAGTCAGGTCCAAGCTCTTCCCTCGAGACCACACTGCCCCCAATGGCCACCTATGACCTCTACAACCGCCTGGCTAAGGGGATATCCATTCCTTGTACGGATGGGGAAACTGAGGCCCAGAGCGAAAGGACGCATACAAGCTTCCCTCCCGTGCTTGGAAGCCGGGGTGTGGCCCCTGGGGTCGTCTCTGTTCTCCCCTGACGTGGCTGGGCTCCGGGAGGCTGCAGTGAGCAGGGCTGGGGAGGGGGGGCGGGCAGGGTGCTCTGCGGGCTCACAGGGATGTCCATTTCCAGATGTCAGGGGCAGCTGCTGGGGAGACGGTGGGAGCAGCGCCCCCTGCCGCTCCTGCTCCTTCCTGCCTCCCGCTCCACAGACCGGGACACCCCCACGAGCATCCGACGGCGTCGGAACCCCTTCCCGGGATCTGAATCTCTCCCGGAGCCCTGCTCACCTGTGGGTGTGCGTTCCTTGAAGGGGGGCGCTTTGGCGAGGGGCGGAGGCTCTGCTGCCATCAGGACCTACGCGGGATGGGAGGCAGCTTGTCCTCAGTCCAGGCTTCTGGGCTGGCGCCCCGGGGCCCCCCACCGGGTCCTCTCTGCTATGCTCTGGGCGCCCCCGCCTCCGACATCTCCCCCGAGCGCTGGGAGGCTATTTTGTCTGCATAAATTTATCATTCAGTCATGTACATTTACTCCCCCTTGCCCCCACCCCCATGTTTAAGGCTCTTTACAAACAAGAACAGATAAAAAGGAGAACAGAGCAAAACAAAACAAAACAAAAAAGAGGGGTGGAAAAGTAATGGAAAGCCAGAGGTGAAGTTGATATACAAACTCTTACCATGAGATGATATTTTTTAGCCCGTGCCCTTAAACGTGGCTCTGAGCTTCCTAGTCACCAGGGCAAAGAGGGAAACATGATGTCCATGTGATGAGAACAAGCAGCCTCTCTTTTCTCACCATCGGGAGGGGAGAAGGGTTCCCCAGAGAGCCTCAGAAAGAAGATGTGGCCAGTGTCCTGGCAGTGAGCCCTATGGGATTCCCCATAAAATACTCCTTGGTGGGACCAGGGACAAGATGGCCTGGGGCTTCCACAAGAAGTTCCATCAGTCAGCAGGTGTGAACTGGATTTCCCGGTGGGGTTGTGGGTGGGGAGGTGACTGCTTCGGCTGTGGTGCCCGAGCTTGGCAGAAAGTCCCGGAAGCTAATTCGGGAGCAGGGGCTGAGATGCTGGAGTGGGTGAGAGCCGCCTCAGCCGCTCGCTCTTGAGCACGCCTGCCTCACGCTGGGCCTCCCCAGAAAACACAATCACAGGGGAAGAGCTCCATGAACCTTTGTTCGGTGAATGGGCTGGGCTCGGCCCACGTGACATGGGGCATACAACACAGCAGGGCCAGAAGGTTCTAGAAGAGGGGAGAGGATCTGTGGGGACTGAAGGCCCTCAGAACCGTGTAACTGCCGTGGCAGCCTCTAACAAAATGTAGCCCATGTCAGCATGGGTGAGGGAGGGGACCCGGCACGGCCACAGCAGAGGGCATCCTCTCCCATACCCTGCCTCATCTGTGCGCTCATGAGGAGCGCCTGCTGGGGGACACCCTGACACTCTGGGGCAAAGGGATACTTTCTGTGGGGCTCCAGGTCCTGTGCCTGTGGGTGGGGTCTCTGGCTGTGAACGGTGCCCTTGCTCCGGGTTATTATCCGACCACCATCTAGGTCATGTCTGATCCAGCTCCAGATGGCAGCCCCTTGCCGAGAGGGGACAGGGTCTCATTTCCCCAGGGCTGGTGCACGCTGGGCGTCGGACAATGTTACCTACACTGATCAGAATGGAATTGAGTGCACCCGGGCCGGACTGGAGCTGCCTCTCCCTGGGCACCGCCATCCCGCACCTCCACCTCTGCAGGGAGCCGGATGGCGGCGCTGGGCCCTGGTCCTCAGGCCGAGCTGTCCGAACTCCTGGCAGCCTCTACCTTGTCACCTGACCCTTGTCCAGGCCCTGGGCTTCCCATCGGATGAGGTCATGGCTGATGTCACTTGGGGACCTCAAAGACCATCCCTGGCCACACCTTGGCCTGCGATAAGACTCATCAGCCCACATCAGTGGGTGGCTCAGAGGGTGGGGTGTGAGGGGCAGTGACGCGGGCCATATCTGTCTGCAGGCCCCTCCCCTTGGCATTCACCACACTTGGAGGCCATGAGTCCCTCTGAGGGGGAGACTTCCCTCCTCACCCCTGCCCGGCTTCCTTCCTCTTCCTGTGCCACGCGGGGCCCCCTGGCCTCGATGGGGGAGGGGGCAAGGGCAGCAGCGGCCGGCACTCATTACTGCCCCTGGGGACCCTGTGACATTGGCGCCATTAGGATCCCCTTTGGCAGGTGCAGCAGCCAGGGCACAGAGAGGTGGGGTACCGTGGTCAAGGTCACACAGCCTGCCTGAGGAAGAGCCAAGATTTGGACCCAGGCTGGCTCCAGAGCACATGCCTGGGGCCACACCACAACACCTGTATGATGCTGGGACAGAAGGGAGCCCAGGCTCCCGGCGGGGGCCGCTCCAGGGCCCAGGGGAACAGAGTGCCTTCCCGCGTGGGTGGCGTTCTAGAGGTGCTCTGACAGCTAGAGAAGGGTTCGCCAGGCAGAGCAGAAGTCAGAGAGCCCAGGGACATGGTGCAGGGGTGCAAACGGGCCCAGCCAGGTGAAGGAGGGCAGACTTCTCTCCAGCAGACGTGGTCAACTGTTCTGAAGACAGCTCGTGCTGACTACACGAAGGCTTGGGCTGGCTGGAAGGGGGTGCACAGAAGGCGGGGGACCCCTAGGGGCTGCTGTAGGTATCCAGATGCAAGACGGTGCCTCAGGGCCAGGTCCTTCGGGGCAAGTGACAGAAAGCCCAGCTCAAACCGGCCTCAGCAACAGGGAGCTTACCTTCCTGACTGGTGCACGGTGAGCTAGCATCAGGTGTGGACTGATCCAGGGACTCCCTACGTCCTCCGGCCTGTGTGGACTGTGCTCCCAGTGTGACCCTGGACACAGCAGAACCAGGCGCCCCCCTTTAGGGCGGCTTTCTCCAGCAGTCTGGCAAAAGTCTCAGCACATCTTATTGGCCCTGGTGGCTCTCACGTCCATCCCAGACCCAGTCACGGAGCCAACGGAGTTGGGAGCTGCCTCCTGGCTAGCACTGATCACCTACTGGGCTCCGCATTTTCCAGCAGGACAATATGGCAGGAAGGTGTGTCTCAGAGACTGAGCTGGAAGAAGCCACACAGTGAATGGCACCAGCAGACCTGGGCATCCCCTTCACAGGCTTCCTGACGGGCTAGCCAGCCTCTGCTCATAGACCTCTGA